GGGCTCGCGCCCTGGCCGTAGGGACTGCGTTCCTGAGAGTGTAGGTTCCTCAGGCACGCGGACATCTCGGATCTACAGCGTACTCAGAGGGCCACAACTGGCCACTACGGCCGAGTTTCGCCGTCGCCCGCATACCGCTGGACACGGTAGATCACAACCAACCCCAGGGACATCTCAAACACGGCGTGGGACCGAAATTACTGCGTATTTTGGTTTTTTTTTGCCCTCGGGGCCAAAAATAGGGCTCCCAGCACGGCAACGCGTATACCCGCCAGATGCACGACCCAGAGGTCGGTCAGCTCGATCGAGGGCCGATCTCAGTGCATTAGCTCGGGGTCCGACAGCCGGGGCCACGGGATGTGGCGCATCTCGTGCGTGAAAACGTCCACCGAATGTCGTTACGAACGCGTCGAATTTAAAAATACTTCTGGTGCCAAAAACCTATAGCTAGATAGCAGGAGCGACATGGTAGTTGCCGGATCCGTCCTGCCAGAGCCGACAACAAAGGTTTTTCGGCACAATACAGCCGAGATAGGGCCTCGTCGTGACGTGCGGCGTTTCGATGACGTTCCGTCGGGTTTTTGGACGAGCTCTGGGTCCTCATCCGTGAATGATTGGCTCTCAGTCTTTAGGAATCCGGTCGATTCCGACCTCGAGACCGGCGCTTTGGCGTCCCACGCGTTTCTTGAGGCGATAAAATCGATCTCCGCAGCGCCGAAACGTGGCCGGAGACGGGGATTCGTTTTTTTGGACCAGTTTTGTGTCCTCGTTCGTGAATGATTGGCTCTATATCTCGGGGAATCCGGTCGATTCCTACCTCGAGACCGGCTCTTCGACGTCGGTCGGGTTTCTTGAGCCGGAAAAATCGATTTCCGTAGCGCCGAAACGAGCTCCGAGCCGGGAACGTGTAATTCTAGACGAGCTCTCGGTGCTCATTCGCGAACGAGTGGTTCTCTAGCCCGAGGTTTTCGGTCGACTGGGGTCCGGGGGCCGCTTCCTCGACGTCGGTCGCGTTCCTTGGGTGGAAAAAATCGATCTCCGCAGCCCGAAAAGACGCTCGACGGCGGCTCGCGAACCGATACGAGCCCGTTGATGCGCAGCACCGTCGAGAAGACGTCGACCGCGCGAGCGAACTGTCGCCCGCGACGCCTGCGGACGTCGTGCCACCGAAACCTCATGGATTGGTAGCATTGCGACGATGTAGTGGCCGCATGAGGCCGCCACAACCTCATGGTGGGAGCGGAGTTCAAGAACAGAAAAGCGAACTGCAAATTTCTCGGTGCCGCGGTGCAGCGCGCCTTCCTGCGCGCGCTCGAGCCGCACTGAGCAGGCCCGATTGCGCGCCGCTTCGCATTCGCGGGTGCAGTCTGTCGCATCCCATCGCACGGGCTGGTTCGAGACGGTTCAACTTTAAGGGTATCTGCCGATATCTTAAGATGTTGGGCAGATACGATGGCTGCGTGGATCCTCTGCCCGCGCAGACGCCACGGCGCGTAAACTCGCGTGATTTTTCTCTTCGG